GATAGATAGATAGATAGATAGATAGATAGATAGATAGATAGATAGATAGATAGATAGACAGAGTCTTTATTGTCCCATAGGGATAATCATTTTCACACATCCCTTTTTTCCTTCTTCCATAGCACAGAAATATCACATATGAGGAAACACATATAACATGTAACACATATCCAAAAACATATACAAACACACAGCTCAAAAAGAGACTCAGATAAACACATAAAATGTGAAAACTACAAAGCAACTGCAATGGGGGGTGGCAGTATTACAGTTTGTTCAGCACTGTGATGGCGGTGGGGACAAAACCTTTTTTGAAATATGATTTAGTCCAGGTTAGTGCTCTGTATCTGCGACCGGATGGGAGTATGAAGAATTTATTCAGGGGATGGTCTGTATCAGCTGCTATTGCGCGTGTTAGGTGTGTGATGGCTGTGTCATTCATTAAGTGATGATTAATTTTTGTTGTAAAAAAAAGTTATTAATATAGTTCAGTGTTTGTCAACCCTGCTATATATATATATATATATATATATATATATATATATATATACACTCACCTAAAGGATTATTAGGAACACCTGTTCAATTTCTCATTAATGCAATTATCTAATCAACCAATCACATGGCAGTTGCTTCAATGCATTTAGGGGTGTGGTCCTGGATCTCCCGAACTCCAAACTGAATGTCAGAATGGGAAAGAAAGGTGATTTAAGCAATTTTGAGCGTGGCATGGTTGTTGGTGCCAGACGGGCCGGTCTGAGTATTTCACAATCTGCTCAGTTACTGGGATTTTCACGCACAACCATTTCTAAGGTTTACAAAGAATTGAGTGAAAAGGGAAAAACATCCAATGCCTTGTTGATGCTAGAGGTCAGAGGAGAATGGGCCGACAGATTCAAGCTGATAGAAGAGCAACTTTGACTGAAATAACCACTCGTTACAACCGAGGTATGCAGCAAAGCATTTGTGAAGCCACAACACGCACAACCTTGATGCGGATGGGCTACAACAGCAGAAGACCCCATCGGGTACCACTCATCTCCACTACAAATAGGAAAAAGAGGCTACAATTTGCAAAAGCTCACCAAAATTGGACAGTTGAAGACTGGAAAAATGTTGACTGGTCTGATGAGTCTCGATTTCTGTTGAGACATTCAGATGGTAGAGTCAGAATTTGGTGTAAACAGAATGAGAACATGGATCCATCATGCCTTGTTACCACTGTGCAGGCTGGTGGTGGTGGTGTAATGGTGTGGGGGATGTTTTCTTGGCACATTTTAGGCCCCTTAGTGCCAATTGGGCATCGTTTAAATGCCACGGCCTACCTGAGCATTGTTTCTGACCATGTCCATCCCTTTATGGCCACCATGTACCCATCCTCTGATGGCTACTTCCAGCAGGATAATGCACCGTGTCACAAAGCTCGAATCATTTCAAATTGGTTTCTTGAACATGACAATGAGTTCACTGTACTAAAATGGCCCCCACAGTCACCAGATCTCAATCCAATAGAGCATCTTTGGGATGTGGGTGGTGATGGCGCAGTGGATAAGACACATGCCTTTGGTGTGAGGGACCCGGGTTCGAATCCACTGTGAGACACCAATGTGTCCATGAGCAAGACACTTAACCTCTGACATATATAGCATTTGTAAGTCGCTTTGGATAAAAGTGTCAGCTAAATGAATAAATGTGGCGCAACTGGAGCTTCGTGCCCTGGATGTGCATCCCACAAATCTCCATCAACTGCAAGATGCTATCCTATCAATATGGGCCAACATTTCTAAGGAATGCTTTCAGCACCTTGTTGAATCAATACCACGAAGAATTAAGGCAGTTCTGAAGGCGAAAGGGGGTCAAACACAGTATTAGTATGGTGTTCCTAATAATCCTTTAGGTGAGTGTATTAGTCTATATTGTGTTTTTTCTTGTTTTCTAAAGACATTGAAATATGACTTAGGCAATTATGCTATGAGGCTAACGATATACAGTATATATTAGAGTTGTCAAAAAGTACAGACTTCGGTAGCAGGTCGGTACTGAAATTTTTAAATGATGACGGAATCGCAAACACCTCTGATTGGCCATTGTGTTCTCGCGCTCATCGGATATGTCTGTGATTGGCTATAATGATCCACGCACAGGAGTGTTTGAGACAAGCACAAGCGGGCGTCTATCAGTGGACCTGCTTTTTTAACGCTCCCGTGTCTATCTGTTTAAGCGCTCCGTGAAGAGTGTTTTTGAAGCGTTGATCATTGTAGCTCACGCTCTACAGCGCTCAAAGCGTCACATTTTTTTAAATTTCAGTACTGACTGGTACCGGAGTTTAGCCTGGGAAAACCCAGACAACTTCCGGCAAATTTAGATTTGCTCTGAAAGTTAGTCTGGCAAAGAGCTCATTCAAGCCCATTTCCAATCCGCCGAAATCAAGGCACCAATCAGAAACGTCGGGGCGGGCTTTACACGTTGACGATGGCGCTGGGATTTTGAAGCAGATTTTGTAGCCTACATTACAAAGATGGATGCCGCCGTCGAACATCACTCGTTCCAATCAGCTATCGCGTCTGTTTTAAGCCATTTGAACGTTTCCTTTTAGTTAAAAACCGAGCAAAGAACAACACTCAGAGGTGTTTCTCCGCCGCTCTGCATACGTCATCTCCTTCATCGCTCTGATTGGGTTTAGGTCTATCCGCGACGTCCGTTGGTGACGCCCCTCTGGAAATGATTTGTCTATGACGCTTTGCCAGACCATAACTCAGTTACAACTGAGAATGGTCTGGTTTTAACCAGGCTAACCGGAGTTGGTACTTTTTGACAACTCTAATATATAAACAGTATATATTATGTCACTGTTATGGAAACCTTTTATCTCCATATTATAGTGTGTGAGCATTGTATTATACATTCATGACTAGACAGCAACACAGTGTCGGCCCAGATCTGGTACATGTTGATTCCGTACCAGATGTGGGCCGGATCCGGGCCGGAACAATATTGCTGTCTTGGACTGTGTATAGTGATAATTATAGCCTATATCAGGGATAGGCAAGTCGATCCTGGAGTGCCGCTGTCCTGCAGAGTTTAGCTCCAACCCTGATATAAACTCGCCTGCCTTTAGCATTAGTAATCCTGAAGACATTGATTAGCTTGCTCAGGTGTGTTTGATTCGGGTTGGAGCTAAACTCTGCAGGACAGCGGCACTCCAGGATCGACGTTGCCTATCCCTGGCCTGTATTCACTGTTTAATCTGCAACACAAATTCATGGTCCTATTTGTTCTTTCTTGATTTAATTGAACAAATAATTCAAGTGAAATGATCACATAGAAATTAAATATTTTGTTTCATACAGACAAACTACAAAAAGTTCAGTTTAACTGTTCAGATAGACACACTTTTTTTTTTACCAGATTATATATCAAAACACAAGACCGGTTCTACCAGTGGTGCACAACTGGTTTTCTCTCAAGTTAATGCGCAGTCATACTCAATACTTATACTTAATTAGGATAAATACATTTTTGATTTGTATCCAAAATCTAGTGATGCATGACTGATTTTGCATCAAGTCTGAACTGGAACTCGAACGTTATTATGTGCTCAAAAAATAAAAATCATTTTTTACATTTTTAAAATCAGTTAAAATCGGTTTATTTTTCATGTTTATGAGTGTACATCCTGTTATTGAGGCAAACGATGATTAATGTATGATTTGTATATAACATAATTTTTTTAGATGAGCTGAGAAAGTTCAATAAGACTAAACAAATTCTAATTTATATGCATATTCAATAATTTTAAGCTTTTAGCGTCATTTCTATTGGTTATGTAAAATGTAGAATTGTAGAAATAACATTTTATCATGTTTTTGGGTAATTTGTATACCAATTTTAACTCAAGCAATCACAAAGCAAAATCAAGCATGCACTCCTGTTTGAACCTGCAAAAAGGGAGAACTATATGCAAAAATTAAATTAGGACATTTTTCTCCCCCGCAACAGAACAATAATGTAAGGTTGACCTGCAAGGGATGCAAATGAAATGAGTGTTGCATAACCACAATTATTATGTGTCACTTGAAACCCCACATGAGGTACGCCCATATGTCTCTGCCCTCTTTGAGCTCTATTTAAGCAGCAGCAGCAGCCCTATCAAACACATCTCAGTTTCCTGACGTGCACCAGACGAGCTGCTCTTGAGTTCTTCAGACTAAAGTCATTCATGTGAGTATATTTCAGCGAGCATTTAAAGGGATACTCTACTGGTTTTTCATATGTTATTCCCTTAACTAAGACGAGTTGATACATAGCCTACCTCTCTCGTCTCAGTGCGTGCACTACATCGCTGTCTTGCGGCGAAACTTTGTTAGATCTTATCTCAGCCCTGTTCATTCAATACGTGCCCAGAAGAGAATCGACCAAACACCTCCACGGTTTCGCTATTTAAATACAGTTACACGAGTAGTGTAACTCGACCTAGGACGGTGACACAAAAGAAAACGTTGCGCTTTTCTAAGCGTGTAAAATGGATAACTATATTGTATGGCAGAATACCATAGCAAGTGCTTGGGAGCACTTTGACTCGGCACTGTAATATCATCTCTCGTGAAAAGTCCGCTCCCGTTGAAATGAGAGGGAGGAGGAGAGGGAGCGGGGGGAGAGCACTGAGACGAGAGAGGTATGTATCAACTCGTCTTAGTTAAGGGAATAACATAGTTTAATATGAAAAACCAGTAGAGTATCCCTTTAAAATGCAATGCATGTAGTAGCCAATGCCTTGAAATTTGCAGAAGGTTAATACAGGGCTAGTAATCAATGGTGAAACTTTTTTGTGCAGATGAAATAAAAACAAATCCAAATTTCTGTGAATCACCGAATACGAATAAAAAGGGATTTGAGTAAAAAATACCCTTTTTAGAATTCATGCATCAGAGACATTTAAAAACCTGATTTCGATCTCTGGTGTTATTTAATCTTGTAATTACTTTTCAGATCTAATTTCTTCAAAGATGGCAACACTTCTATCTTTAATCGGTGGAAATGGAGGTGGTCCATTTTCATTTACTGGTGAAAGCAATGGTGCCAGTTTAGAGAAGATCTGGGTGTGGGTGGGAGAATGGCAGGTTAAGGCTGTCAGGGTCTGGCTTACAGATGGGAGAAATCAAACCTTTGGACAGGCATCTGGATCGAATCAAGAGTATACGTTCAAGCCCGGTGAGTGTTTCACCTCACTGTCCCTGTGGGGGAACGGAGAGGGATCACGTCTTGGAGCCATCAAATTCAAGACCACTCTGGGGGGAGAGTTTTTTGCAAAGATGACAAAATGGAGTTTAAAAACAGAATATCCCATGGATATCGGGTCTGGTTATTGTTTGGGAGTTGTAGGGAAAGGTGGTGCCGACATTGACAGTATGGGATTCATGTTTATCAGTGCAGTTGAATCAACAGTTCTTGCTAATGTCCAGTATCCCACTCTCCACCAACTGATCCCAAAGGTGACTGTGGAAGAGCTGAAGTCCGTCACTTTCAGGAACGACTCCTCTGCCATACAACATCAAAAAATTGAAACCTCAAAGAAGGTGACCAAAAAATCCTCATGGTCTACGAGCAAGAGTTTTACTGCAACGTTTAGTATGGAAGTGAGTGCTGGGATTCCAGAGGTTGTAGAAGTTACTACAGGATTCAGTTTCAGCGTTGCAACAGAAAGCACTTATAGTCAGGAGAACACAGATGAGAGAACCGAAACTCTGACTACAGATGTAGAAATCCCACCAAAAAAGAAGCTGGACGTTTCAGTCACCATTGGCAGAGCCACTTTTGACATGCCTTACACTGGCACAGTGAAGATGACCTGCAAGAACGGCAGTGTGTTTCAGTATGGAACCAAGGGCACATACAAAGGCGTCACTTACACTGATATCAAAGTGAAGACTAAAGAATCTCCTCTGTAATGTCAAGACAGATTGTTCTTGTCTGGTCTTTATCTGATTAGTCCAGCAATGTATCAATTGTTCTACATTTAATCATTTTGTTTGAGCCTTTCTTGTTTCATTTCAAAGTGTTCCTTGCCCCTTTGTTTTTAACAGGGGAAATATATACTCAGCATTGTCTTTTCAAATAATCTTTTCTGATTCTATTACAACCCAGCCAGCACAGCCATGTGGGGCCCACATGGGTTAGACCTGGGCTATCTAACTGGGACCCAGACAGTTTTGCTCCCGGTTTCCATGTAGGCCCCACATGGGTTTGCCCAGATGAAATGAATACTGCTCAGTGTGCACACTACAGGCTGTTAAATGTAACACTGACCAGTGTTGGAGTTAATGAGATAATTAAGTGATTGAATAATGATTGAGCATTATTGAAGACACCTGATGTTAACAAGCAGAATCACTGAAGGAGAAAATCACAAATTGTAAGCCACCGGTATGGCGATCAGCGTTTGCTTTAGTTGGACTCTTGACCCTTAGACTGTCACTTTAAATTTTGTTTGTCTGCTGTTATTGATTTATAACAGTCAAATGAACAAAGAAAAGTGTGATCTTATAGTGTTGGTTATGTTTTGGCATAATCATGCTGTGATCTGATAAATGAAACTTATTGAGATGGTTCAACTTCTGGTTCAACTTCTGGTTCAACTTGTTAGCAACAGCTTTGTGATTCCACAGCATATGTGTAACCCTTTTCTTAACCCTAGTGGTTAATTTAAATGTTAGCCAAACAAGAAAATCTGGATTCCCGGCAGTTGAATGGTGAATTGGCCGGTATTTTTCCCTTTAAAAGAAAAATTAAGTAAATTATCTTTTTTTTCCCTAAAGCCTACCAATTACACAATACGTGTACTAAAATACTAAATTAAATAATTCTTATTTATAGTTTCCCAGAAGTCAGTACCTTGTTGAATTAATTAATTTACCAAACTCCAAAAAACACCAGAATACAAATGTTAAGAATAATAAAAAACAAATATTTATTTTACATTAATAACCCCCTTTAAAATAAAAAAAAACAAGAAACTACTTATTCTCTTGTAAATAAAATGTCCAACTCAACTTTCCAGTCTCAGAATTGTTTGTTCTCTCCCTTATGTTTTTTCCACTTGAATTCATACCTTTTTAACTTTCCTCCTGAAACATGTACAGCAATAAGGAAAATAAAACAATATTTCCTTCAAAACAAATTAAACACACTTGAAGATTCACAACAAAGTTTTTCTCTTTCAGTATCGTTATGCAAATCAGTTGCGAGTCAGTGACGCAGTCAAATATACGGTCGTTCGTTATCGTTGGGGCCCAGTTCGTTGGTGCACATTTACAGCTGATGAATTCAATGTAGGGCTACATTCAACAGTCCCGAAAATGAGTTCACTTACGTCCATCCGACGAAAACAGCAATGGTGAAGTCACTTACAACAAGACGAACACAGTTTCACACGAGCAGTCCTGGACACGCGATGAATGCAGCTGATTTCCGAAGTCCACCACGAACGTCCAATAACTCCGACACAGTTATTGACCAAGGATTTGAATGTCACTAGCTGTTAAGCCCTCATGACACACGTCTTGACTCAGCGCGTTGACTCAGATCACGGAGAAAATAACAGAAATACAAAAAAACACTTCAAATAGCTAAAATAAAATAAACAAAGCGTCGTTTCTCTACACTTTGGGCCTTATATCAAATAGAATATATTAAGTCTCCAAAATGACGCACTTCTAACTCAAGCAGTCAAATTTTTATCGTCTTCTCATGCCATGTGCGATGCTCCTCCCCCTTCACGTAACTAACGTTATGACGCAAACTTATCATGCTCAACAGTCACTGGCCAGCAATAGTACATTTACATTCAACACTATTCTCATTGGATATGAAACAAAAACATGTAGTTGCATCACATTGAAACAAACAAATAAAATGAAAAGCACAAATTTCAACATTTTAAAAATACTTTTTTTATATTTAGGGGTCCCTACACACTCCCCCCACCAAAAGTCCAGTATGCCCCCATGCTGGTCATAGAAAACACCCACACCATCGAAGGAAGTGACCATGTTTTTTTTTTTTTTTAGACGGGGCTAAGACTAATTGGTACAAGTGTGGGCATATTGTTACACACATTGCATAATGCATCCGCATTGCACCACCAAGCATGTGAACTTTTATAGCCACTAGAAAAATACGAAGCATTTGCAGCTGCTACATCAACACTACATCGCTTGGATGCAACAGTCTCAGTATGAGGCACTCCCAATGTATCATATGTAAATCGAGTATTAAGCTTTCTCTCCCTACAGGATCTTCGTACTGCATGAGGTACCACATCTGACTGAACTTCAGTACCTTCACTAGTAGTAGCTGGAGTCTGCATAGCAATGTCATGACCTACAGCCATTACATCATCAGTCACATCAACCCTTTCAACATCAGCCTCACGTTGAACAGCAGAAATTTCACTTTGACATGGAGCTATAAGTGCTTCGGAATCACCAGACTCTGAGCATTCTACTTCTCGTACAGGGATTTCACACTGAATCTCCTCTGACATTGGAGGGGGAATATCTGCCACATCCTCCACATAAAACCCAAACTCAGACTCAGGCTCTGAATCAGAAGAATGGCATTCTCTTGGAATGGAATCAACTACAAGAGGAGAGTTTGTTGACTCTGCAGTTTTCCGCTTCTCCTTTGCTCTCCTACGCCTCAAAGCTCTAGGTGATGGAGTAGGCATGATGTCTACCTGGGGACGTAGCCTGACTGCCTGTCCCAAAGGCAGGATATGATTGCGATGCAGGACTTTGACTGGCCCCTCACCATCAACAGGCTTCAAACGATACACAGGAATGCCAGAGAATTGACTCTCCACTACATAGGGATTAGCACTCCACCTGTCTGCAAGCTTTTGTTTTCCTTTTAGGCCAAGGTTTCGAATCAGAACTCTGTCTCCAGCATTCAGACTCTGGTAACGAACTTTCTGGTCGTACCTCTCTTTGTTGCTCTGATTCATCTTTGTGGCAGTGGCATGAGCTAACTGATATGCTGCCTGTAATTCCTGCTTCATTTTGGCCACATACTTCAAATATGACACAGGCGAGGTGTTGTCAGGGGAAACACCAAAACATACATCCACAGGTAATCTAGCCTCTCTGCCGAACATAAGAAAATAGGGTGAGAAACCAGTGGCCTCGTTGACAGTACAATTGTATGCATGGACAAGATGTGCTATGTGCTGACTCCATTGGCACTTCTGATTAGGCTCAAGGGTACCCAGCATGTCCAACAAGGTCCGGTTGAACCTCTCCGGCTGAGGATCACCTTGCGGATGATAAGGTGTGGTTCTTGACTTCTTCACATTCAACATTGTCAACATGTCAGACACCAACCGGCTCTCAAAATCCCTGCCCTGGTCCGAGTGTATTCGAGTTGGAAGGCCATAATGGATGAAATACTTTTCCCATAGAGTCTTTGCCACAGTGGAAGCTTTTTGATCCCTAGTGGGAAAGGCTTGCGCATAACGGGTGCAATGGTCCGTGACCACCAAGACATTACACACATTGCGAGAATCTGCTTCGATGGTAAGAAAATCAATGCATACGAGATCCATAGGTCCTGAACTCTGCATGTGGGACAATGGAGCGGCTCTCTGTGGCAGCGTTTTCCTCTTTATACAGCGTTCACATGTTTTACAGTAGGCCTCTATATCACGCTTCATGCGTGGCCAGTAAAATCGGTCACGAACCAAACTGTAAGACTTATCAAAGCCTAAATGTCCTATCTCATCGTGCAAAGATTTCAACACCATGCTGTGGTACTGCTTGGGAAGCACAAGCTGTCGCTTCACTCTTTGGTCACTCAGCCTAATGGTTCTGTACAACAAGCCATTATCTACTGACAACTTCTCCCATTCTCGTTTCAGCAACTTCATCTCAAGGTGGTTGTGATGGACACTATTTGCAGGTTTCTTATGACAGACAGCTTCCCACACCTCTCCCAGGCACGCATCCTTTCTTTGGGCAGCTTGAAGCTCACTGGGACTAACCTCAGGTAAGTGGTCAGCAACTAATGCAGTAGCCTGACAATAAGCCTTAGGAACAGCAGACATATGGGCCCCTATCTGTTGTACAACACAGGGATAAGAGACACAACCTGCTCTTTTCTCCACAGACATTTCCTGACAAAGTGATCGGACACCTGCCACTGGAATTTCCTGCCACTCATCATCGACACTTAGGTGAGTATGGGGACGTCTGGACAAGGCATCAGCGTCGATGTTCTTTCGGCCTGGCCTGTATTTCAGACTGAAATTGTAGGTGGTGAGGGCTGACAACCAACGGTGACCAGTCGCGTCAAGTTTCGCTGTCTTCAATATATAGGTTAGAGGGTTGTTATCAGTTCTAACCTCAAACTGGACACCGTAAAGATAGTCATGCAGTCTATCCACAATTGCCCACTTCAGAGCTAAAAATTCCAGTTTGTGCGCAGGATAATTTCGCTCTGAAGGGGAAAGGCTTCGACTGATGAAAGCAACCGGGCGGAGCCCTTTGTCATGCTCTTGATACAAAACCCCTCCAAGTCCATCCAGACTTGCGTCCACATTCAAGATGTAAGGCTTTTGTACATCAGCAAAGGCTAGCACAGGAGCCTGAGTAAGACAATTTTTGAGTGTTTGGAAGGCATCATCACACTGAGCAGTCCATCGGGAGCCAAAAGGTTCAGAGATTTTGTAGCACGGCTTGGCATTACAAACAGGTGAGCTGATGGGTTTCTTTTTAGAGGATGGGTACCCCTGCAGCAGTTCATTAAGGGGCCGGCACAACTTTGAGAAATCCTTCACAAAACGACGGTAATATCCACAGAATCCCAAAAACGCTCGAAGCTCTGTCACTGTTTGTGGTTTGGGCCAGGATACAACAGCCTCGATCTTTGAAGGGTCAGTAGATATTCCATCCTGTGAAACGACGTGCCCCACATAGTTCACAGAAGTCCGGCCGAATTGACACTTATCAAGGGAGATCTTCAGCCCTTCATCCCTCAACCTATCCAGAACCTTCAACAGCCGCTGTTGGTGCTCTTCAAGAGTCCGCCCAAAAACAATTAGGTCATCTAAGTACACAAGCACCT